AATGCCACGGGGCTGGTGGAGAGCATGGCACGGGAAAGCATCGCTCCTTCTCACAGCACATCGCCTGACCCTGGCTGGGATTCAGCCAGCAGCTCCACCAAGGACCTGCAGCTCCTGGGGACAGGGACCACTGAGGAACTGCATCTCCTGAGGACAGAGACCACTAAGGAACCGCAGCTCCTGAGGACAGGGACCACTAAGGAACCACAGCTCCTGAGGACAGGGACCACTGAGGAACCACAGCTCCTGAGGACAGGGACCACTGAGGAACTGCAGCTCCTGGGGACAGGGACCACTGAGGAACCACAGCTCCTGAGGACAGGGACCACTGAGGAACTGCAGCTCCTGGCGACAAGGACCACTGAGGAACCACAGCTCCTGAGAACGGGGCCACCTGCAGTGATGGGGACACGAGTATCCTTGCAGAGATCAGCAGGTCCCCGGCCAGGTAGTGCTCCTTTCCCTTTCTCACCAGGTGATGGTACCCATGAGCAAACGCCCCACGGCCACCATGGAGCATCGCCCACCCCACCGAACCTGTGGCACGGCACCGGGCACCGGGGTCTGGGGCTGGTCGGCATGAATGGGCGACGGAGCCCTCCTTTGCCTAACAGGAGGGTAGCTAACGGTGTGGATCCTCTTCTTGCCAATAACTCCGGTCCTCGGGCGTTTGATTTACTAACTGCCACTGCGCGACTCTACGGTAGTAGCGGCGCAGGGCTTGCCTCCTTTCCCGGACTGATGCTGCCGGCTGGCCATTGCGTGCCCATCCCGACCCGCCTGCCCTTCTGCAGCGTGCTGGGCACCCACCATTTCAGATTGCCGAATTACCTCCACCACGGCAGCGAGGCAGAAATTTGGGCGGCTTTGCATGAGTGGGAGGGGCTGCTTGAATCGCGGTGCCATCACTACGTGGAGTGGTTTCTCTGCTTGCTCCTGCTCCCTGGCTGTAGCGCTTCGGTCCCCATAACCCCTCCGCCGTGCCAGGGCTTCTGCCAGGCTGTCAGAGATCGCTGTTGGACGCACTTGGCCGGTGGGCACCTGCCTCTGCCTTGCGATGCTCTCCCTGAGGAGGACAAAGGGTATTCTTGTGTCTTTATTAATGCTTCTGCAGGTAATGTGGCTGGGGGATGCGTGAGTGCGTGCGTCTCCCCTCCTGAAACTTTCCCAGGTTTTTAGGCGCTGAGAGATGCTTCAGGCATGTCCCCATGGGATGCTGCTGAGTCCAAAATCACTTTCCAGCCAGCCCCAGCTGCTTCACGCCGGGACCGCTGGCAGGTTTTAGCTCCCTTTTGCAAGGCTGAGCATCATTAGCCCCTCCTCGGGCTGTTTCTCCCCCACTGAAAAGCGGTGGCTGGGTTAAAAGGCGACATCCCGATGGCCAGGACAAGGGATACTCCCTGAGCGCATGGTGCTGGCATCCAGGGCCAGTTTGCAGGGCTTTGGGCTGTCCTTCCCAACAGCGGGGTGCTTGCAGAGCTGGCAGCTCTCCGTGGGGACAGAGGAAGGCCCAGGACCCTGCTCCCACCCAACTGCCGTAGCATCAGGGACTGTGGCGGTGAGGACTCTTCAAGGTGACCCTTGGCCGTGCCCACACACTCCCCTCTCCCCGAGCAGCTTTGGGGGTTAATGATTTACCCAATGGCTAATGTTTGATCCCCCCCTGCTTGGCGGGCAGGAGAGGTTGCTTTGCCCTCCAGCTTCGGCATCAGGTGGTTGTGACCCTTGCATAAGTCAACTGGGGACCAAGACGTGCCTCTTTGCAAGGCGGGGAAAGGAAAGGAGCGGGGGAGACCGACGCTCGGAGAAACGCATGTCGGGGTGCAAGGGCAAGAACAATTTGGGGTGAAAGCAGGAGCAGCAGTTCGCTGTTCCCCCTGCTGAGCCCTCTGAATGAGGCTGTGTTCCCGTGCCGGCTGCCCGCACCCTCGGGTGATGGCCTGGGGCGG